AGGGTGTCGGTACAACGCTGATGACACCACAGACGCAGGGTGTCGGTACAACGCTGATGACACCACAGACGCAGGGTGTCGGTACAACGCTGATGACACCACAGACGCAGGGTGTCGGTAAAACGCAGGGTGTCGGTAAAACGCTGATGACACCACAGACGCAGGGTGTCGGTACAACGCTGATGACACCACAGACGCAGGGTGTCGGTACAACGCTGATGACACCACAGACGCAGGGTGTCGGTACAACGCTGATGACACCACAGACGCAGGGTGTCGGTAAAACGCTGATGACACCACAGACGCAGGGTGTCGGTACAACGCTGATGACACCACAGACGCAGGGTGTCGGTACAACGCTGATGACACCACAGATGCAGGGTGTCGGTACAACGCTGATGACACCACAGGTGCAGGGTGTCGGTACAACGCTGATGACACCACAGACGCAGGGTGTCGGTAAAACGCTGATGACACCACAGACGCAGGGTGTCGGTACAAACGCTGATGACACCACAGACGCGGGTGTCGGTACAACGCTGATGACACCACAGACGGGGTACAATGTTGATGACACCACAGACGCGGGGTGTCGGTACAACGCTGATGACACCACAGACGCAGGGTGTCGGTACAACGCTGATGACACCACAGACGCAGGGTGTCGGTACAACGCTGATGACACCACAGACGCAGGGTGTCGGTACAACGCTGATGACACCACAGACGCAGGGTGTCGGTACAACGCTGATGACACCACAGACGCAGGGTGTCGGTACAACGCTGATGACACCACAGACGCAGGGTGTCGGTACAACGCTGATGACACCACAGACGCAGGGTGTCGGTACAACGCTGATGACACCACAGACGCAGGGTGTCGGTACAACGCTGATGACACCACAGACGCAGGGTGTCGGTAAAACGCTGATGACACCACAGACGCAGGGTGTCGGTACAACGCTGATGACACCACAGACGCAGGGTGTCGGTACAACGCTGATGACACCACAGACGCAGGGTGTCGGTACAACGCTGATGACACCACAGGTGCAGGGTGTCGGTACAACGCTGATGACACCACAGACGCAGGGTGTCGGTACAACGCTGATGACACCACAGACGCAGGGTGTCGGTACAACGCTGATGACACCACAGACGCAGGGTGTCGGTACAACGCTGATGACACCACAGACGCAGGGTGTCGGTAAAACGCTGATGACACCACAGACGCGGGGTGTCGGTACAACGCTGATGACACCACAGACGCAGGGTGTCGGTACAATGTTGATGACACCACAGACGCGGGTGTCGGTACAACGCTGATGACACCACAGACGCAGGGTGTCGGTACAACGCTGATGACACCACAGACGCAGGGTGTCGGTACAACGCTGATGACACCACAGACGCAGGGTGTCGGTACAACGCTGATGACACCACAGACGCAGGGTGTCGGTACAACGCTGATGACACCACAGACGCAGGGTGTCGGTACAACGCTGATGACACCACAGACGCAGGGTGTCGGTACAACGCTGATGACACCACAGACGCAGGGTGTCGGTACAACGCTGATGACACCACAGACGCAGGGTGTCGGTACAACGCTGATGACACCACAGACGCAGGGTGTCGGTACAATGTGATGACACCACAGACGCTGATGACACACAGGGTGTCGGTACAACGCTGATGACACCACAGACGCAGGGTGTCGGTACAACGCTGATGACACCACAGACGCAGGGTGTCGGTACAACGCTGATGACACCACAGACGCAGGGTCGTCGTACAACGCTGATGACACCACAGACGCAGGGTGTCGGTACAACGCTGATGACACCACAGACGCAGGGTGTTGGTACAACGCTGATGACACCACAGACGCAGGGTGTCCATAGAATGCTGATCCACAGACGCAGGGTGTCAGTACAATGCTGATGACACCACAGACGCAGGTGTCAGTACAATGCTGATGACACCACAGACGCAGGGTGTCAGGTACAATGCTGCTGAAGACACCACAGACGCAGGGTGTCGGTACAACGCTGATGACACCACAGACGCAGGGTGTCGGTACAACGCTGATGACACCACAGACGCAGGGTGTCGGCACAACGCTGATGACACCACAGACGCAGGGTGTCGGTACAACGCTGATGACACCACAGACGCAGGGTGTCGGTACAACGCTGATGACACCACAGACGCAGGGTGTCGGTACAACGCTGATGACACCACAGACGCAGGGTGTCGGTACAACGCTGATGACACCACAGACGCAGGGTGTCGGTACAACAACGCTGATGACACCACAGACGCAGGGTGTCGGTACAACGCTGATGACACCACAGACGCAGGGTGTCGGTACAACGCTGATGACACCACAGACGCAGGGTGTCCATAGAATGCTGATGACACCACAGACGCAGGGTGTCAGTACAATGCTGATGACACCACAGACGCAGGGTGTCGTACAATGCTGAAGACACCACAGACGCAGGGTGTCGGTACAACGCTGATGACACCACAGACGCAGGGTGTCGGTACAACGCTGATGACACCACAGACGCAGACGCAGGGTGTCGGTACAACGCTGATGACACCACAGACGCAGGGTGTCGGTACAACGCTGATGACACCACAGACGCAGGGTGTCGGTACAACGCTGATGACACCACAGACGCAGGGTGTCGGTACAACGCTGCTACTTCTGCTGCGCTCCGCCTCACTCACTTTCAGCCCATTCAAAGGAATCCAGTGAAATCGCACTGCACCCGGATTGTATGTGAACCACACAGGAACGCACAGCGCATTGCACCATTCATGGTGTCACCCACCTCTTGATGAACATTTATGACCCCGATCATATGTGAATCGCACAGGAACGCACAGCGCATTGCGCCATTCATGGTGTCACCCGCCTCCGGATGAACATGTAACCCTCGCATAACAGAAGCCCCCCAACTCCAAGAGGTAAATGGCAGTTTAGGTGTAGGGGATCAGGAAAAGCTCTTTGATATATCTGATCCTCTGCCAGCTGTCAGCACTCTCCTCTACCCCCCTACACTCTGGCAGTGGACTGTCCCTCTTCCTGTCCAGTGAAGGGCTATGGGCTCTGCATTGGTCTTGATGACATCACAGAACTTGCAACCAACAGAGTATAGGGGAGGAGAGGCTGCATGGACCGGTTGTACAACCCAGAGGAGCCTGCGGGAGGAGAGGATCTGGTGTGTAAAATTGTCCAATATTCTGATTGTGTTGAGTCATAGGGGGCTATTGTCATGGAGGCTTAGATAAGATAATGTATGGGGGGGGGATGGGGGTCTGTACGCAGTTTGGGGGACATTTTGTATTTTATTAGAGAGTGATGATGGAGTTTTACTATTTGCCTCAATAAATAATGAGACAGATATGGCTGTTGTGGGAACATTTATTATGTATAACGTCATGAGAGATCACCGAACGCTTTCTGTCCGGAGTCGTCTATCCAGACGCAGGATGGGATTTTCATTTTCATTATCATTTTTTGAGGTGTTTGACCCAAGACCATTGTGAAGGAGTTGGAGATGATTGGTCACTTATTCAGCCAATCATTATCCTCCTGTGTGTGCTGTGGCTGCATTAAATGGTTGGTGTACCCTGCTTCTAGTTTGTACAGCCCTACTACCATTATGTCCTGCAAGCAACTGCTCTCCCTCTTCTATCTGCTTGTGCAGCAACTGCTCTCCCCTTACTATTCCCTGTGCAGCAACTGCTCTCCCCCTACTATCTTCCTGTGCAGCAACTGCTCTCCCCCCTACTATCTCCCCATGCAGCAACTGCGTCTCCCCCTACTATCTCCCCGTGCAGCAACTGCGCTCCCCCTACTATCTCCCCCGTGCAGCAACTGCTCTCCCCCTACTATCTCCCTGTGCAGCAACTGCTCTCCCCCTACTATCTCCCTGTGCAGCAACTGCTCTCCCCCTGCTATCTCCCCGTGCAGTAACTGAACTCTCCCCACTGTCTCCCCATGCAGCAACTGCTCTCCCTCCTCATCTCCCTATGCAGCAACTGAACTCCCCCCTACTATCTCCCCATATAATAACTGAACTCCCCCTACTATCTCCCCATGCAGTGACTGCTCTCCTCCTACTATCTCCCCATGCAGCAACTGCTCTTCCCCACTATCTCCCCGTGCAGCAACTGTTTTCCTACTAATCTCCCCGTGCAGCAACTGTTTTCCTACTATCTCCCCATGCAGTAACTGCTCTCCTCCTACTATCTCCCTCATGCAGCAAACTGTTCTCCTACTATCTCCCCATGCAGCAACCTGCTCTCCCCCCCTATTATCTCCTGTGTGCAGCAACTGCTCTCTTCCTACTATCTCCCCACTATCTCCCTGTGCAGCAACTGCACTCTTCATACTATTTCACTGTGCAGCAACTGCTCTCCCCCACTATCGACCTCCCCGTGCAGCAACTGAACTCCCCTACTATCTCCCCATGCAGTAACTGAACTCCCCCCACTGTCTCCCCCTTGCAGCAACTGCTCTCCTCCTTTTATCTCCCCATTCAGCAACTGCTCTCCCCCCACTATCTCCCCATACAGCAACTGCTCTCCCCCGCTATCTCCCCCGTGCAGTAACTGCTCTCCTCCTATTATCTCCCCGTGCAGCAACTGCTCTCTTCCTACTATCTCCCCTTGCAGCAACTTCACTCTGCCTACTATCTCCCTGTGCAGCAAAATGCTCTCCCCCACTATCTCCCTGTGTGGCAGCTGCTGTCCCCCCCACTGTCTCCCTGTGCAGGCAAATCCACCTCTCACATGAGGTATCTCTGTCTTTGTAGTATTTTGATGGAGGTGGACACCCTGGCTTTTATTCATACTATGGTGATGGAGATGTTTAGGGTTTTTTATTGATCACTGTTTACTGTATGGCGATGGCAGGCTGCATCAACATGTATATGCTGCACACCCAGTTGGTTATAGTTATTTGTTATTCCCTCTAGTGTTCTCTAGAATTGTTACATCGTATCTATTATTGCAATGGAGGAGGACCAGAGTCACAAGACTGAGAAAAATACTAAACCTCACCCTGGGGATCATCTACCTGCTGACCGGAGAGGTGAGGAGGATTCTGGGAGGTCACATGACATCACTCTGATCTCTATTAATAAAAACACAGACCTGACTGGAGAGTGAGGAGGATTCTGGGAGGTCACATGACATCACCCTTATCTCTATTATTAATAAAACACAGACCTGACCGGAGAGGTGAGGAGGATTCTGGGAGGTCACATGACATCACCCTTATCTCTATTAATAAAACACAGACCTGACGGAGAGGTGAGGAGGATTCTGGGAGGTCACATGACCACACAATCACTCTCATCTCTATTAATAAAATACAGACCTGACCGGAGAGGTGAGGAGGATTCTGGGAGGATTCTAACATGATATTCCTATTGGTTCCTCAATACAGAGATTTCCTCTCCTGAAGTCAGGTGATCATATGACCATCACAGTGCCTCCATGTGACTCCTAAACCCTGAGAGACACACAACATGCAGAAGATTCTAGAAGTCACCAAGAAGATGATGGAGCTGCTGACAGGAGAGAGGTGAGCGGTGCCGGGAATTCTGGGACATTCTCCAGTAACAGACAAGGGATGTGTCTGGATGGTGAACTGTATCATTGTGTGTGTGTCAGGTTCCTATAAGGTGTCAGGGTGTCACTGTCTTATTTCTCCATGGAGGAGTGGGAGTATTTAGAAAAACGGACACAAGGATCTCTACAAGGACGTCATGATGGACAATCAGCCGCCCCTCACATCACCGGGTAAGAGGAGACTTTATTGTAAAGGAGAGAGCAGTACGGAGGATCCACTCTAGATCCCCCATCATCTGATAAAAACACATAAGAAACAATGGATTCAGTCAGTGTGTGTGTTTCCTACAGATGGATCCAGTCATGGGAACCCACCAGGAGATGTCCCCGTCCTCTGTTATTCCCGGGATTCCACACAGGAAGGTCACACCATCCCTCACCATCATCAGGTAGATGATTGACAATTATTGGTAGTTGTGATTTATACACAGCATGTTTGTTACAATGAATGTTTTATTATATCTTTCAGAGTGGAATCCTCGGGGATGAGAATATTGATGTTAAAGAAGAGTATAAAGAGGAGGATGAGGAGTATGGAGTGATGGAGGAGTTTTCAGAAGGACACAAGGATATGATGGAGCCACCTAATACCAGGAACCCACCAGAGAGATGTGTCCCCGTCCTCTGTATATTCCCGGGATTCCACACAGGAAGGTCACACCATCCCCACTATTACAAGGTTGGTGGGGCTGAGAGCATGGACTTGGGACAATATATGGATTTTTTATGTGAGCTTATATTTTACAGGTGGACCTCTTCTCTCATTTTCTTGGTTTAGAGTGAAGATCTGATAGATATAAAAGTTGAGGTTAAAGAAGAAGAAAGAAGAGGCGTATGTGAGGTAAGATGATCAGCAGTCTATGGAGGAGGATGGAATAACGGGGACATTTATAGAGGAGGACACTCCTACAGAGATCAGCACAGGTGGGTCATGAACACTAAATCCATTCCTCCACCCATACTGCTCACTGATTGGTCCAGAGTAGGGCGTGGACTGGGTGATATCAGCCTGTAATCCCCTGGTCACTTTCCTGAGCTGTGTTCCCGTCCTGTATTCCTGGATTTCTCTCGGATAATCTTCCTTCTCTGTGCTGCAGACCACATTTATGTATCTAGACTGGATTTATGGAGGTTCTGGGGTTCAGCTGTCAGAAAGATGTTCATTTCACCATAGACATTACTAGACCTAGGCACCTGGGGTGTGTGCTTTGGGTCCATTCTTGCCCCATGCCTGGGTCTCCACTAGTAAGATTTTGACAGAACAATTCTCCCAGGGTTCCTTGCTCTGTGGTCTGCTGGCTGTGCCGGGTGGAGGGAATATGTCTGTCCAGTGTCTCAGACCCAAGTCACTGAGTGCAGTCTCAGGAGATGGAGGCAGCGGTGTGGGATCTCTGCAACTTGTCTACAGTAAAACATTTAATCTTCCACATGATTACTGAATACCAATAATTATGAGTCCTGACCCTTATTTACTGTATAATTTATATTGTACATTACATACTCCTGACCCCTGCACTATATACTCTATGTTGTAACATTACATACTCCTGACCCCTGCTCTCTATCTTCTTCCAACTGCTATATATAAACATAGGAAAACATTGGGAAGATGGCGATGAGTGATAGAGGGGGTGGGGCCCTCGTCCTATAATCCCCTCATCACTGTCCCTCCCTATAAAAGACAGTTCTGGTTGTTTCCTCACTTTCTCTGACTAAGGTCCATGAATAAAGAAATATCCTGGTAGGAGATCAGAGGAGCCATTTCCTGTTCCCTTGAGGGTGGAATTGTAAGCTCCTCAGAGACCAAGCTGCCTGATGTGGGCGGAGTCCTGGTTTGGGGGAACCAATCAGCTCCTGTCTAGTAATCCTCTTTGTCTTTGTATTTTTAGTCCATGACCGGGAGATGAGGAAAACCTCCAAGGATTGTCTCACTTTGTCTCCAGACTGGAAAGTAGAAGATGAGGACCTCACACAGTATATTCCAGGAGAAAAACCCGGCTCCCTCCAATGTCCATCCGCACCCACCCAGTGTAGATGGACCATCGGATTCCTTATCCTGAGGAACCTCAGACTGTGCGGGACCAGGCCGGCCTTCCAACAGGGAAGAGCTTCTCCTGTTCTGAATGCGGGGAAGGGTTTCTGTTCTAAATCCAAACTTACTATGCATAAAAGATCTCACACATGTGAGAATCTGTATTCCTGTCCTGAATGCGGGAAATGTTTTGTAGAAATGTCAGATACTTGTCATACATCAGTAGATCTCACACGGGGGAGAAGCCATATTCCTGTCCTGAGTGTTGGAAATACTTTTTCAGTGAAGTCTAATCTTTATAAACATCAGAGATTGCCACTGGGGAGAAGCCATTTTCCTGTCCTGAGTGTGTGAAATGTTTTTCAACAGAAGTCCTAATCTTTACCCACATCAGAGATCTCACACGGGGGAGAACCATATCCTGTCCTGAGTGCGGGGAAATGTTTTTCAGACAATTCCCATCATTTACAGACCTCAGGAGGCTGCACACCGGGGAGAAGCCGCATTTCTGTCCTTGAGTGTGGGAAATCATTTTCAGTGAAGTCACATCTTTATACACATCAAATTTCTCACACGGGGGAGAAGGCATACTTCTTGTCCTGAGTGCCGGTGAAAAAAGTTTTTCAGGAAGCAAGTCCCCATCTTGACACACATCACGAGATGTCACACAGGAGAAAGCATTATTCCTGTTTCTGAATGCGGGCAATGTTTTCTGTACGTCCAATCCTTTACCAAACATCAGAGATTGCATCCATGGGGGAGAAGCCGTATATCTGCCCTGAGTGTGGGAAATTGTTTTTCAGTGAAGTCCAATCTTAGGACATCAGAGATCTCACACAAACTTACTTGAGGAAGCCCCTTTCCTGTCCCTGATTGAGGGAAGATGTACTCACTGAAGTCTTGTCTTCCTGTACATCAGGGGTCCCACACACAACGCCTGGTTGGAGGTGTTATTAGTGCCTGGAGTGCGGGACAATGTCTTCTAGATGAATGTTGCTGACATCCCAGCTCTTCAGTGTGGAAGAAGCACCCCCCTGATATAGCACTGCAGATTATACTTCCATGGCTGATCTTCATCATGGAAGAAACAGTTCATCAAGTAATCAGAGGTCCCCGAAGACATAGATGAAAGTCCCTGCTGCGAGCCGTTTGGCCATTGTAGGAGAAGAATATAAATGGAGTCCTCCTGAAAGGATCTAGAAACCTCCATTTTGTGTGTTGATGTACGCCTATTTTAAGTATCAAAGTTTAGGTTTTTTGCAGATCTATTAGAACCTTTAATGGAACTGTTTTAGTTTGCTGAAGGACCCCACCTATCAACCAAAGATAACATGACCCAGACATTGTCTTTGTCCGGCTATTTCTCAGAGAAAGCTAGCAAAAACAGTTTTTTGCTAGCTTCCCAATTTGCTAGCAAGAAATGTAGTATGTCATGTCATTCATGTACACAATCTCATGAGATGGAAACTTACAATTACAGTTTTTAGAACTCGCTGCCCCCCCTTCTTATTTCTGTATCCTATATAACTTAGTAATGTCTAACTAAACTTTGAACATCTCTGAACATAAGCTGCAGTTTATTTTCCGTGTTCAAGGTTTCTTGTTCCCAGAATTCTTGCTGAAAACCCAGGAATCTCTCCACATAACCAGCTGGGGTCTCTGAGGGAATAAGAAAAATCATCCATTCCCCAGTTCAGCCTGGGGGCTTGGGCCCAGGATAGACCACCCACCTCACTTGGTAAGTAAACCGTTTTGTCTTTTATGACCAAAAGCTACTTTCTTGCCCAGTGTTGAGGGAAGGACTTGAATCCTTCTGTATTGTCTATATAGACCCGTGGATAACCTGCAGCTACTTTTGGTGTAGCCCCAGACTTAACTCTTTGATAGCGTGTACAAAAGTGTGCACTATATATTGTATATAAAAAAGAGTGTTTTGGTAAACACACCTTCTATTGTTCTTGTAGAACACACGTCCATTAGGTAGTGTTAGTTATGTGGTCTCAGCCCTATGATGTACCAGAGGATGTGTGGACTGACACAGGGATTAGCACGTATATGATCCAAACGCACACGTAGTCCTGCGTTAAAAATGGCTGTGTGTCACTGAGTGGGTGCCTGCAGTGGACCATTCGCGCGAACCGAACTGGAATGCCATAGAGAAGGATGAAATGTTGAGCCGACTACATGTCGATGAAAATCTTGCCAAGCTTAGAGTTAAGAGGTCCAAAACATTGTGCTATTAAACATCACATAGTTACATCAAGGCTTATACGTTCAGCCCACGCAGTATCCCCTACTCCTCCAGGCATTCTAACCCACATGGCAGTGTGCATGAAGGGGTCTTGGCGAGTAACTCCTCCATGAAGGGTGCCTGCTTTAACTATTTGCACTGGTCTTTATTATAACACCTTCAGTGACGGGTGCCCATTCCACCAAATCCGAAATTCAATCTTATGGAGCCCTAAGTCCCACCCTTTTCCGCGATATGCCCTCACTCGCCCACGGGATTGCTTCAAGTATGCGTATACTGAATACAATGGTACATATGTTTCCTAAATTCGCGGTACATCAATTGGCAAAAACCAATTCCCTTTTTTTCAATGACTGAAACCACTTGGGTTGAAAGGGATGAGCATACACCAAGTCAGGGATGGGTCCAGTAACTATCCCACCACCCATACGAACCAGTTGGGAGGATCTAGCAAAGGTATGAGTATAGTCCTGAAGTAAGCACGTTACATTGCAGGCTTTAGTTCTAGCACTTTGTTGACACGATCAGGCAGAATGCAGATAACCTGGCTCAATAGGAACCAAATACCAAAATGCACTGACTGCAGGCCTGTCCCACTTCCGCTATTGAAGTTTTAAATCGTCCTGCAGATGATCTGCAAGAGTACATGGCTTGATTTTTCCAAAGAGATCCATGGCTTCACATGAGAACACTGACACGTCTGGACTCTTAGCACACTGTTATCAATTGGCAGCTGCACATATGAATGTTGCTGAACCCCAGGACCACCTGTTTGTTGTCCATCCCATCCGCCACATACAAACGTAGCAACACTCTGAAAGATAACTATTGTAGAAGTTTTCAAAAGGTTCCCCCAATATGATGTTTTTCTAGAATAGGACACTGTTTATCTTTTGCTCCAGTCTTTCTGCCGCCTATAACACGTAAGAAAACTCGCTTGTGTGGAACTAAATAAGAATTCATGAAAAAGGTCCAATGATGAACGATAATCTTATCCACTGTCAACAATATGGTCAAGGAGGTAGTTACCCCATTCCAGCTGTTCTCCAGAAAAGGTGAGAACACGGTACAGGACTCTCTCACTAAAGCTTTGTGAATGATTATTTAATCCAATCGCAGGGTGGATTTCTAATGGCAGCTGGACACATGAATATGTTGTCCACTAAAGACCCTCTTCCAGAGACAGCTGACACTCCTTTCTATGGAAGTTTCATGGATTCTCTCCTGAGAGATCATTTGCTGAAGGAGGACACTGATCTGTCGCCAGATCCTCCAAAGTACTCATAAAAACTGCTACCTCTTTCAATGATGACGAGTCATCCCTTCACCATTTTACATCCGCTCACTGATACATTTTTTGCTTTGAGGACACTGATATTCTTCCAGGATCTCCGCTTGATCAACATCCTTACAACTCTACTCTAGAAGCTTCCAAATTCCTCCCCAATGAAGGGGCATTGCCCTAGGAACAGAGTCAATACAAAATTGTCCACCCCCTCATGAGAATCAGCTGAAGACTCTCGCTCCCTCTAGTGGACTTCAGATTTACTCCAATAATGAGTGCGAGGTATTTTAGACGAAACTGATTCCTCCTACCAGCACTCCTAACAATCATTTTAAGAAGCGATGGCTCTTACATCTTCTGTACAAGATTTCATGGTTCATCCATAATTAGTGGATTTGCATGATCCCCAGACACTGCCATTGTTGTCCATTCAATACCCACCTCTCATTCAATCCATGCAGAATATTTTACAGTGATTGATTAACAACTCATTTTTTATTGGTTCCTGTGGACCACCAACGAGCGCTATTTGTATTTATATTCTGAAATCTGCCAAGTAACCTGGTGCAAAATGCCCCAGGTTTTGTAGATTCCTGCAGTCTCAACTCACCTTGCCCTCCAGACCACACTAGGTCCTGACCCCTCCCAATGGTTTCGTCCCCTCATTATATACATCATGGCCGAAATTGTTGGCACCCTTGATATTTTTCCTGAAAATCAAGTAATTTCACACAAAAAAAGGTATTGCAATTAACACATGTTTTTTGCTAAACACAAGTTTAATTCCCCTTTTTAAAGTTTGGAAACAAAAATAAAAAAGAGGCAGAAAAAAACCCAAAAAAAACATAAAAGTCACACCCAAAAACCCCCAAAAATGGGCTGGACAAAAGTTTTACCCCTTTAACTTAATATTTGGTTTCACACCCTTTTGAAAACTAACTGAAATCATCGCTTCCCATAACCATCAATAAAGCTTTTGACACCTCTCACCCCGAAATTTTTGGAAACCCTCTTTCCTTTTCAAACAGCTCCCGGGCTCTCTATTGGAAGGGCACCTTTTCCCCAAAAGCAATTTAAAAATCTCTCCCCCAAAGGGGGGCAATGGGGTTTTTAAAAACTGGGGTCATTGCTGGCCACTTTAGAACTCCCCCAGCCTTCTTTTCCCTCCATTTCTGAAAAGGGTTTTTGCGTAAAGTTTTGGGGGCATTGTCCTGCTGGAAACCCAGGTTTTTGGACGCAAACCCCGCTTTCTGAAAACTGGCCCTACAGTGCGACCCAAAATCCTTTGTAATCCTCAATTTCAAAGATCCTGCACACATCAAGGGAAACCCCGTGCCAAGGCAGCAAACAAAACCCCAAAAAAATCATTGAACCTCCCCATATTTTAAAGTAGGGAAAATGTGTTTTGTTCTTTTTAGGCCTCAATTTTCCCTTTTTCCCCGGGAAACAGTAAATGATTGCTTTACCGAAAAACTCTATCTTGGGGCTCATCTGCCCCCAAGCTTTTCCCCCGAAGGCTTTTTGGGTTTTCCAATTTCATTTTGGCAAACTGTAAATCTTTCCCTTTTTTTTCCCCTTTTGTCAGCAAGGGGTTTCCCCCTGGGCTCCTGCCATAGCGGTTTTATTTTATTTAAAATGTCCCCACGGGTATTTTGTGCTGACACTGAAACTCCCTGACCGGGAGGACAACTTTTAATGTCCTTTGGGAACTGTTTTTGGGCGCTTTTCCACCATCCGACATTTTGCTTGCAATCTTTCAAACAATTTTTTTTTATCCCCCCTCCACACCAGGGGTTAGCTACAGTGCCATGGGGTTTT